GTTATCTAATTCTGCACAAACTTATCATTAATTTATTATGAATTTAAGAGGAATGTTGAGGACTTGTTAAAGGTAAGAGTGCTAGGGGGTAAAAATAAATAAGGGTTGTTTGTAGGGAGAGCGACATGATAATTTTGGGAAAAGGAGAAAAGAAGGGAAACCAAAACCAATGGAACTATCACCATTGAATGAGGTGAACTTCTCAAATGTAATACCCCATATTCAACAAATACTCTAAATAATGTTAGTTAAGATCAACTGAGTTCCATGAGAGTTATCTATTGAGATGATTAGAGCAATCGATGAGCTCAGATTTGATTTAATTAATATTATCTGACTTTAAGATTTTATTAATTGGTACATTAGAGACATTTTGGATACCCATAATTTTGGACTTTTAACCAAGTTAGTCTTACAAACTTTTCTTGTTACTACTTTTGTGTCCTTGTTCCAATTTTGTGGGAGAAATATTAAACAAGGAAAAGAAAAGAAAGAAAGATAGTAAGAGAAAAGGGAAATAAGAATATAGAGGAATAATAGAAAGTGGAGAGAAATAAGAAGAAACCCTAGAAGAAGAGGAAACTTTACCATTCATCATCAAATCATCTCATCTTCATCATCAACAAATTCGCAATCATCATCTAGAGGTGGGTTCTAGTTAGATAGAAATTTCTAGATAGAAATGTGTAAGTTATATTTGGTAAGATTTCTTCATTTCCATGAAAATACCATGATTCTTATTGTGTTCATTACATTGTTGTTTGAAATGTTATTCTTATGTTTTACATGTTGATATCAATGATTGGGATGAGGTTGGGTGAATGGGGTTGAAAACCCCTTTGGAATTATCCCTGTTATGCTGAGAGATTTTGAAATTCGTAGGGCTCGCACAACGAGTTGGCGGCAAACATGACAATCTGCCATGCTCGCACTACAAGCTGAAGGTGAGGAGAAGGCGAGCATTCGCCTAGGGCTCGCACAGCAACCACTGGCGAGCCACTGCCTATGATTTTTCTATCTTGCCCAGAGTTCACACAGTGAACTCAAGGCGAAGGGACATCACCTGGCCCTCACACTGCAATCCTGGAAGTATTTTCCATACTTTGTTTTTATGCTTGCTTGGTTGATTCACATGCATATTTATTGTTACTGTATCTTGTTTTTATTGACTGTCGTGAGTAATATGCATGTGGATTTATGGATGGTGGATTATTTTAACATGATGTTTATGTGATTAAAAAGGATTAAGAAAGAGTGATGAAAACCTTATCATAATTCAATGGAATAACCTAGTGATGTAACTAGGAAATGATAGATGACTTAGATGACAATGCATGTGCATTTGATGCCTAGATGTGCATTCTTGACAAGTAGTTGTTCAGTGGAGAGGTGAGACATTATATGGAACATGTGTTAACTTTGTGTTACTTTGTGAATAAGGTGAATGGGTTACCTTTTGATTGTCGAATTCAATCATGTTTGTGTTTGTGATCACGTAGTCAGAAACAATCTCTTAAGACATGTCGTTCTAAGAGTTGAGGCTTATGTAGAGCGCTCTTCTAGAATGTAGGCACTATTACTTTGACAGGTTGTATTCCCGTGTGTAGTACGAATGGAGCCTACGAGTAAAATGCTTGAGATGAGGGTATTCCCATAGGAAGCGATGATTCATGTGGAAAGCACCTCGAATCCAAATTCGTTTCGTATGTCAAAGTAGATACAAGGATCCATGACCCGTGCCAAATTTCCTAGACATAGGAGAGGATGGGAAAAGGGGATGCCTTGGTATAGTTTCCGATTAGTGATAGTTTGGGTTATTGGACTCAAGCAACATGTTTCCATATAGTGTGTGGTGTGTGAGCTCAAGTCTTACCCTTTCCATTTGACTTGGGTTAGGATTGGTTATAACCTTTTAAAGCCGAGAGAATCCATAAGATAGGGAACCCACTGGAATTATCATCTCACCCCATGTTGTTGATTATATTCAGGTGGTTCTGGTTCTGTGAAGGGTAATGATAAAGCAGTTTGATATCCTTACTTGTCTCAATTTTTGGATAACATTGTTTTCGATGTGAAGACTTTATTCTAAGATCATTTGATATGATCCAGCTCTTAGTATTTGGAGCATCTTGTGTATATTATACATTCTTTTTAGATTTTATGTTCTGGAATGTAATGTATACAATGTTCTACTAAGAACTTATTTGTATTTCAGTACCAAACTTGCCTACATTTATAATATATATTTTCTAGACATATGTATTTATATAGGGATGTTACATCAAGTCTCAAGTGAAGAAAGAAGGAGCATCCAAATCATACTTTTCATATTCATCTATCACTCTCCTTGAAATCATATACAAATATCATGGTGAATTTTACCCCTCCCCTTAGGCTTTGATTTTTATGAACCCTTAAATTGAGTTTGTTCTTGCATAGTGATTAGGGATTTTGCATGCGAACTTGGTTAACCTATGTGAATTTAGATTTTGTAGTGATTTATTTATTATATTAAGAATCATGTGATTTTGACATTAAAAACATGCCTAAAATCTTCCGAATGGTCAGTTTTAGGTGAGATGTGAGAGCCATGCATTTTCTAGTTTGAAACTGATGTTGCAGATTTTTTGAATCTTGCTAAGACGGATATGTTTGCTCGCTAAGTATGAGAATCACTGCCTCTAAAGTTGGAAATCTCTTTAAACAAGAAATGAGCTTGCCAGGGCTCGTTAAGCAAGGGAAATCCCGCCTAGACTCGCTAATCGAGGGATGAGAATGCAAAGGCTCGCTTAGAAAGGGTTGAGCATTTCAGGGCTCGCTAAGCAAGGATATCATTGTCTCAGAAATTGAGAAAGCACGCACAACGAAGGCATTAGTCGCTAGGTGAGGTATCCTAAGTAACTTTCCTTTCTCTTTTTACATCTTAGTTCTATCTCGAAGTATATGTTGATTAAGGATATTGATGATATGTGTAATGTGAATGCTTCTAGCATGAGTTTGTAAATTAGTGCATAAGGATATTATACCTATAGACTCATAAGATAGAAGTAATAGAGATACTATCATAAATGCATATCTATTAAATGAGAATATCAAGGCTCACCTTTGATAAGTGGTCTCTCTATTTATATGTCGGGATAGGTAAGTCACGGTGAGTGGGGAACCGCTTATGAAGCTAATTTATATCCAACCTTACCAAATAGAATATGATAACCACATTTATGATGATTGAGTATCACGAACTCTAATTTATTTTTTGGTCAGAGCCTCTAAATTATTCTCACGTTCATGGGGGCTTGACACTTAGGTCTGGTCTTCATTATGAATGCATCGAGGGATTAAGGGATAAAAGACAGGGTTTGTCATGTTTTTTCTATAATAAACTCGTTGGAAAATGTATTTTCTCACCCAATGTATTTTGTTAACGGTTAAGAATTTGCAGGTGTAACATATAAGTAGCACAGGTGCAACCCATAGTAGTTGTAGTATTTTGTTCTTTTTTGGGTGGGACTGACTTCATGTAACTCGACCTATGTACTTATTTTACATTATTAAGTTGTAAGTATGTCTCTAAGGTGGTTTAACCAATTTGATATTCTAGTGCACCACCTCTGAAAACTAAGTTGCATACATTGTATGTTAATTTCTAAATAACTAATATATGACGTTACAACTAGACCCCCACTGGAGGATCCTCCTTTAAATAAACTCAAGAAAAACTCATTGGACTCGCCCCAACAAGGAATGAATTTGATCCAGACGAATATGGTTACAAAGGAATCCACAAAGGATGAAAAGACAAATATCAACCAAAAGATGTGCATGTATAATAAATAAAATAAAGCAGGCTCAAGAGTTGGACAAGCTTACCTATCTAAGCAACACATGGAGTCTCGCTCGAGGGACTCGACTATCTAAGTCTTGCCCAAAAGTAGATTACTTTCTGCCAGGAACTAAATCAATTCGCCCCGTTTAAAGCCCTGTGCTTAAGACACTATGTATTGGAATAACTTCATTAGGATTAAGAGAAAGCAATCCAAAGGGAAGCGGGGCAAGTCAAACATTCTGTTTTCAGGAGACCACAAGGCCAACCATAGTTGCTCCATTGGCTGCTCACTAGTCGCAATAAATTGCCTGTATTGGGCTTGGATCTGTTTGTCTCTCACCCGCTTATAAAAATGTGAGGGTAACATGCCCTTACACACGCTAAGAAATAGAATAATCAATCAATGTAAAAAACTAGATTCAATTATAAGGGAAATACAACTCTCTCATATCCCACGCTCCTGAGGGAAAATGGGGAATAACCGCTCCATGAGTCTAAATATTCAGATCCAAGAAGTCCCTATAAATATTCCATCCTTAAGATTGCGGGATCAAATGATTTTTTTCCTAGAAATTACATATACAAAGCTTCTTATCACTCTACATGAGTTAACTTTAAACACCACCAACAACTTTAAATATCACTGACAGTCCTCCAAATAATATAGGACAAACCTCATTGTAATTTTAGACAAGTAAAAATATATATTAAAGTTGTGACATTTTCTAATAAAATGGGGGCATGAAGAGTATACATATGCTTTAAAAGAAATGTCTTAGTTTTCCCTTAGAACATTTAAATTCTATCATTAAGTGTTGATCATTGCACCCAAAAGCCAATATGACACAAATTAATACATTTACATAATATTACTATTGAATCTCAACATAAGAACTCAACATATTTTTATTAACAAACTTCAAGATTTCGATACATAAAAGGCCCATATCATTTTAACCTAGAACTTAAAGTACAAAGTCACTCCAATATTTAAATCACATAACTCTTATTTTTGAAACCGATTTATTGTCTCCATACTTAAATATAAGCAAAAGAAAGTTTATGTATTAATAGATCTTCCATTTTGTTTATATTTAAAATCGAAGACAATATTTCTTAACAGAAAACATTCTTCAAATTCTTCAAAATACATAGTTCAAATTATAACACAAATTTATCTAACCCTTCTGCAATTGATTCGAATCTGACCTTGTGTCCCGGTAAGAGGCTTCATGTTCCCCATCTTGATCATTGAACTCTTAAAATCTCTAGCAAAAGCCAAAGGACTCTTACTATAAAGTTGCACCAATTTGTCACTTTCTCTACCTTTTCCCGAAAACAATTGTTGATCAGAATGAAGAACACCCTTTTTGTATATCAAATCTCTATAATATGTTGTGTCAACTTTTATAGGAGTGGAATCTAGTTGTGCTAAATTGTCGTCTCCACCTTTTCTAGGACATGTTTTTCTTAAAGATGCTGCAAAACTAGGATCAATGTTTGTTTCGTTGTAGATTCGGGTTCTAAATGTTCTGCACTTTGCAAATCCAATGGTGTGGCCACCAGAAAGTGCTACGAGGTCTTTTACATCTAATCCATGGGATTTGAAGTTGGAAATAAGCTGTGAGAAGCTGAATGTTGGAGGTGGGAGATTTGCGTTTGCAGCTGATTTGCTTGCTGTTCTTGCATCTCTTCTTCCCAATAACACATTGTAGAAAAGTTGTGGACCTCCCAACTGTTAAGAGCGACACAATTTCACATTATGTAACTTTTCAACTATGAGAATGATGAAAATGAAAGATTAAATATTGTAACACTTACTATGGCTACAGAATCACGAGCAGCAATGGCTAAAATATCAGCACATGAAACCACAGGGCGCTTACAAGCTTTATCAACAGCAGCTTTGATTTCATCAATCACAGAAAATCCTCTTATTGAATTAATATTTGGAAGAGCTGTCTTTTCCCCTGTGAAGTTCCTAGTGTCATCTAGCAGAACTGATCCATCACACCCCTGAAGTTTCAATCATAGAAATTAATTCAATAAAGAATGCTCTAAAAAAGTGTGACATATTCATATATTTTATCTTTGAAATAATTTTTATTATTTAAGAAATTTCTTACTTTACCTAACATTTTGCAGCTCATATGATACAAATAAAATAAGAGCTACTGTAGTCCAGTCAAACATAACTTCAGAAATTTTTTAATATACTAGAAGATAAATAAATAAATCTATTAAAAAAATAATTGAAGCTAACTACCAGTAATTAGGTAAAGTGGCATTTTCTTAAGAATTTAATTATTTTTGTTTTTTGTATTTGACATTATTTCTATCCTGAATGGATGAGATCTGAATTATCTTGGCCTATAAATCAAAAAAAATTATTTAAAAGAAACATTATTTCTGTTTGTTTGTGCGGTGCATATAAAATAATTATGATTCCATTATTGCCAGCAAATTGATATAACATCTGCATGATAAGTTGAAACGGCAATATTAATAAAGGATTGGTAGGTCCAATTCATGCAAAGTTTCCAAATGGCTCACTACATTTCATTTTATCAGTAGAATAAGCTAAGAATTCAATTAATTATAGTGATACACCAAGTCTTAGAGCTCTTGGATTTGTTTTTATTTGCACCTATGAACATGAATACCGCACTTTTTTTTTCCAAAATTTATTAATTTATCGATATCAGGATTATTACATTAATACATAAATATAAACAAATAACGTGGTAAAATATTTATGATTAAGAATGCTTAAGTAATATTGTAACTTACATTAACAAAGCAATCATGGAAATGCAGGCGTAGGAGTGATGCTCCAATGCGTTTTTCCCTAAGAACTGCTTGCTTAACAACTGAGTTTATGACTCGTAAAGCTTGAGGGCAAACTTTATCATAAAAATGAGGAGTGAGCAATGCATTGGAAGGGATCAATAATGAGACCAAAGTCACCATAACGAATATTTGACTAGTAGTCATTATGTGTCTTTTGGCTATGATATGGTTCTCTTAACTTAGTCTAAGAGATGATTTATATAGAGATAACTCAAGGCTTATTGGTTTAATTTATGAAATTATTAACATTATAATATTTTGGATTATTACATATACCAACTTTTGTGCACTATACCATTGACTTATAAGATTCGCTTCAATAAGAGGTTATAGGTTAATATAAGTTAGTTTTGTCTAAAATGTAAAATGAAAAGCCACATGTTGAATACAGCACTATTTTTATCTCGGTTTTCAATAAAACAGAGATAATAGAGCACTATTATTATTACAAACATCAGTTTGTAATAATAATTGAGGAAAAGATATTGTTATTTAATTTATATATATATATATATTTTCTTAACTTGTATTATAGAATTTTGTTGTCTATTTATCAAACAAAAATATTATATTTTTTTTAAATTTCTCAAATAGAAATATTGTACCAAAAATATTTAATGGTTACACCAAAATAACACACGCGTCGTAATTTTATAATAAAACTAAAACAAATGATTAACCATCAAAAGCAATAACCAAAATGTAAAGTCTTGTAAGCCTTCCAAAAGTTTTTATCTTGATATGTAACTAGTCGTTAAACACTTATAATTTGAACAACATTTGAAACTAATTATTATAATCAACAACAACAACGTTAAATCTTTAGACCATTGATCACAACAACAACAACAAAAACAACAAAAACAACAACAACTAAATTCAAAATTCAATCTTCAAGAATAACAACAACAACATTCAAATTTTAATATCAACAACATACCTCATATAACACACAGGAGTTTTTGATTTCTGACTTTTACTTCTAAAACCATGCAACATATAATATCCTTCGACATCTTTACATGTTGGAAAAAAATAATTATGTAAAAAGAATATAAATATAAAATGAATATATATATATATATATATATATATATATATATATATATATATATATATATATATATATATATATATATATATATATATATATATATATATATATATATATATATATATATATATATATATATATATATATATATATATATATTACTAAGTGACATAAAATATTTACTTAATGTTTTCTCATATCCCCTCTTGATGATCATGAAAATAGCATGCACATCAATACATGTGTTATAAAAGAAAGTGCCTCAAAATCTAAATCTTGATTTTCATCACTATCAAGAATATATTTTCCTTCAAGAACAATTGATTATCTAGTGTTTGAAGGATCAGTGACATGAAAAACTTATTTTACTTAAGTTGCCATGATGAATGATTTGTTTATATAAGCTTCCTTTCGATGATCAACCCGTGTGAATCCTAATTCATCAGTTTCTACACGAGTATTATTGTCAATCCACTTCCACTTAAATAAAGGCACTTTATAAATAGCATAATAAATCACTAAAATCTCCTCAATGACCCTAATATGAGCTCTAGATTCCAATACATGATTGTTATCTTTGGAACTAGATAAGTACATTGATTCAACTTCAATCATAACTCCGTTTTTTACATGGTACTATGATTATCCTTTGATTTTAAATACAATAAAAAAGTTAGTAACGTCATATGCGCTCCAAGTTATTATATTAAACCTAGGCATATATGACGTCCATTTAATTTTCTATGATGCACTACTCTCTTTAGGAACCTTTTCATTAACCTAACTCATGAAAGTTTTGTTGTGCTCGGTCAAAATCAATTTTTCTCAAACCCAGGAGAATGTTTCCTTGATAATACTTTGGTAAGTGGACAAGTAAGTCTAAACTTCATTAACATTATTCAATATATAGAAATGTGCTTGAAGAACTACATCTCGGTCTAATGTCTTAACATTTAAACCGTGTTTACCTCTACCTTCATATCTTCCATCATGATGAGACTCGATAATTTCTATAGAGTTTACTTCAGAAAAATAGTTTGTATAAAACTCAATAGATTTTCTTGTGATGTACTGTTCAACGATGAAAGCTTTCGGATGGTGATGATTCTTTGTATACCTTTAAAGATCTTCATGTATCGTTCTACCGAATACATCAACCTTAAATAAACTTGACAACAAAATCTAATTACCTTTAATACATGAACCGTTAAGTGAACCATAATGTCAAAAAATGATGAAAAAAAATACATCTCTAATTGACACAAGATAATTACAACTTCATGTTCTAACTCAACTTAATTTCCAGTGTCAATGACTTTACTACATATAGCCACAGATAACCACTGGAAGAAGTTGTTGCTTTAAGCCATGATAGTCATGAGATTTTAAGCCAACTAATTTGAGATCTTTCATTGACACAAGTTTCTTCAAATTTGATGAGTACCATTGGGAAACTTTGATATCCTGCAAACAATCTCAAATATGTTTTGTTTCCTATTTCTTTTGGGGATAACTCTTGTTGTATACCCATCACCACCATATATAGATGAAATTTCTTATTGTCCTTTGTCTTTCCTTTAATGTTGACATGTGTTTCAATCAAACTATCACATATATTTTTCTTCACATGCATCACATTAAGACAGTGTCTAATATCGAGACTAGACCAATGTGAAAGATCAATGAACATCAAGCATTTTTTCCAAAAAAAAATTCTCCACAAGCTCTTTTTGTTTCTTTCCAAAGATAACATTAATGTGTTGTTTTCTTTTACAAACTTCCTTTCTAGTTAAGGGCTTTAGAGAGATATCAAACTCATGTTTTTCATTAAAAGTGTTCTACAATCTATGCTATGAATCATTTGGGCTTAGAAAATTTTGATGCCTAAGGTAAACAATCTTTTTTTTATATTGTAATTGTTGGGATCATGTGCCATCTTCACATATAGGACACAATTTATGTCCTTTGGTGTTGTATCCAGAAAAATCATCCTATGCAGGAAAGTCATTGATTATGCAAAACAACATGACATGTATCTTAAAGTTATCACCCATATACGCATCATCAATATCGATGCCTTCCTCACATAAAACTCTTAAATGTTAAATCATTTGCATTAAATAAACATCTATGTTGTTCCCTGGTTATTTTGGACCCGAATCATCATTGATAACATCATATATTTGCGCTTCATGCACAACCACGAAGATAGGTTATAAAATTTAAGAGCCAGTGGGGTGACCAAAAACAGTCATATCTTTGTGCTAGACCAACTCAGAGGAGTAATTGTTGAGGCAACAAAAGGACCATCAACAGGAAGAGAAGTGTCAAATCCCAACAAGGGGTAGGACCTTGCCCTGAGGTCCACGTCCTTTGATGAGTCTGAAGCATTCTTGAAAATCATAAAGAGAAGTGAGTACAAAGTAGTAAATGAACTACATCAAACATGCTCCAAGATATTCATTTCCTCACTATTGTTGAACTCAGAGGCATGTTGAGATGAATTGCTGAAAGTTTTAAACCAAGCTCGTGTCATTGAAGACATCTTGGTAGACCATTTTGATGGGGTAGTCACCAATATTACCACATGCATCATTATGAGCTTTAGTGACAAAGAGTTTCCAACTAAGGCGAAGGCCCACAATAATGCTTTGCACATATCAATGAAGTGTCTAGGCAATGTCCTTACAAGAATCTTAGTTGATAATGGATCCTCACTAAATGTTATGATTAAATCGAATCTGATTAAATTATCGATTGATGGGACATGTATGAAACACAGTTCTTTGGAAGTACATGTGTTTGATAGTTCATGAAGGACATGAATTTGTGAGTTGGACTTGCATACACAAATCAACCTTTGTATCTTTGAGATAACTTTCCAAGTGATAGATATCAGTTGGTAAAACTCTTGCAAGAGTATGCAGACATGTTTTAAAGGTCATACCAAGATATGCCAAGTCTAGACATGAATATAGATGAACACTAGTTGCCACTCCAGCCATAATGCGCTCATGTAAAGCAGAAGCTAAGAAGGATGAGGCACGACATGTCACTCACAATTAGAGAGGAAGTCAATAGACAGCTCGACGTTGATTTCTTAGCTGTGACAAGGTATCCACAATCGGTTTCCAATATTATGCCAGTTCTAAAGAAGGAAAGGTACACGTATGTGTTGACTATAGGGATTTAAACAAAACCATCCCGAAGAACAACTTTCCATTATTATACATTGATATGCTAGTAGATAACACTACTCAATTCTACGTCTTTTCCTTGATGGATGGATTTTTTGCTATAATCTAATCAAATTGGCTCCTGAAGACATTGAGAAAACCAAATTCATCACCCCATGGTGAATACTTTTCTACAAAGTAATGACATTTGGCTTAAAGAATGCTGGAGCAACCTATCAAAGGGTGATGGTGATTATTTTCCATGATATGATACACAGAGAGCTAAAAGTATATATGGACTTTATGATAGCTAAGTCAAGAACTTAGGAAGATCAGATCATTCCCTTATAAAAGTTGTATGTATGCCTAAGGAAATTTAGACTGCGATTAAATCAGGCTAAATGTACATTTGGTGTCTGATCTGGAAAGTTACTCGGTTCCATTGTCATCCAACAACGGATAAAGGTTGGCCCTGATAAATTTGGATCAATACAAGGTATTGTTTCCCCTCATACCAAGAAGGAAGTTCATGGTTTCCTAAGAAGACTAAATTATATCTTCATACTCATCTCACATCTTATCGCTACTTGTGAACCAATTTTCAAGCTATTGCGTAAAGATTAGAAAATATAGTGGAATGAGGATGACCAATTGGAATTTGAAAATATCAAACAATACCTACAAGAACCACCAATTTGAATAACTGCAAGTCCTTGGGAAACCTCTCATAATATACTAAATAGTGTTTGATGAGTCAAATGGGTGTGTGCTGAGGAAACAAGTTTAAACTAGAAAAAAGAGCATGTTATCAACTACTTGATCAAGAATTTCAATGATTGTGAGACCTGGTACTCACTGTAGGAAATAACTTGTTGTCTATTTGCATGGGTCGCTCGTCACCTAAGGCAATATAT